GCTCTGTCTCTCAAAAATGAATAAACATTAAAAATATATATATTTAAAAAAAACTAATCAATGGTGTTGGAGGTCAGAATCAGTGTGACTTTGGGGATGGATTAATGATTAGAAGGAACCTTGCGAGGCCCTGGGGTGCTTGTCATGTTTTGTTTCATGATCTGGGTGCTGGTTATGTGACCATGTTCAGTTCATGAAAATTCATTGAGTCATCTATGACATAGGCACTTATTTATAAAAATGCTATACTTTGAAACGATTTACAGGAATAGACCACAAGGTACAAACACTTACTTTTAAAAATCCTTTATGAAATTGGAATCCCTAGGAAACCCTGGATTCTTTTTGGGTTCAAACACGTTGGAACTGAGTTCTGATAGCTTATTTTCTGATGTTCTTCCTATTTCTCCCAGGGATCCTGGCACCACTTTGCCCTCAAACATCCCTTTGGAAAGTATAACCTCAGAATATTCATGTAATATTCTCAGAAAACATGTGAGAGTGTAATAGAAGACTAAGGCACTTTCCTGCTTGACCCCTCAACATTCCTGAGTATGAAACTCTTGTCTCACCTGTATTTTCCATTAGTCAAAAGGTATTAGGAACTTTTATCTGCCCATGGCATATTATTTATGTTGTTTTAGTTTTTTTAACCAGTAAATGTCCAGAGATGTCAAAGGGGCTTAGAGAGCTTCATTTCAGTAGGCTCTTCCTTGCTCTGCACTATTTAAATGTGCTGTGACCAAGCCAGAGTGTTTAAATAGAGTGGAGCACCACGGTGCTGTGTTCTACTTACTTAGCTCCTGAGGATGAGTTTAAGAGTGATTAAGTCTGAGAAGACAGAACCAAGGAACCTCATGCAAATATTCACCTTCGTCAACAGCCAACTAAACAATCAAGTCTCTGGTGCTTAATGAGCTTTGTTTTTTTAAATAATATAAACTTTAAAAAGTTACCAAAATGTTCATGAGGCAGTAACAGAAGAGGCTGCTGCAAGTAAAGTTTTGACTTACTGAAGACCAGTTCTTTCTCATTTTCTGATTTTATTATTTGCATTGACATTTATTAATGTTCCAGCCTTTTATAAAGGCTAAACATAGTGTGGCTTTCCGTTCATTTTAGGGCTCTTAGAATGACCCTATAATTTATTGTCCAAACCCAGGCACTTTTGAAGATGAAAGGAGACACTAAAAATAATTAATAGTGTTAACTGATCCACAACAGGAGTAACCTGGGACTGGCCTAGGCAAATCAGAACATCTGGTCATTCTACCTATTGTTAGATAAGGGAAAAAGAGAACCAGTTTGTTTGTTTGTTTGTTTGTTTCTCCAACCAGCCTGTACTGCACTTTTTCCTTTTGTTCATTACTCCTGAACCCTACCTGGCCTCTCTGCCTCACCTACCCCCTGGCTACGTCTAGGACCACATGCCTTATAATCTAGCTAGTCTACCAGCTGAACCCTGCCTTTATTATTAAAAACATGGAAGGTACAAGGTTACATTAACTTGTACCCTTCCTCACTAGTGATTACATTCACTTTTGATATCATAGATGACTTAAAGGAAAGCAGAACAAAAAATATAACACTTAGCTTAAACCCACACTTCTCAGGGCACCTGGCTCGCTCAGTTGGAGGAGTATGTGACTCTTGATCTCAGAATTGTGAGTTTGGGCCCTATGCTGGGTGTAGAGATTACTTAAAGAAACTGAAAAAAAAAAAAAAAGCACCCACACTTCTCTGTCCTAATGTGCAAATTTTCTGATTGCCTCAGATCTATTTCTTTATCACCTAACTAAACAGTTTTTACTATGGTATATTCCATGTACTGAATGTAACTATATGTTAAATCATTTCATACATGTATGTCCTGCATCTCAGTCAATTAAGAAAGAACAAAATCTGATTTTCCTCTCGCTCCCACATTGCCTGGTATAGCATTCAATATACAGAATTTACCCAATCTGCTTACTGATAAAACGCATCTTTTGGCCACAAAATTGCAAGAACTTATCCCCCTTATCCTCCCAAATGTAACATTTTCTTACTGTTCCTGGACTTAAGCTGAAATATAGTTCATCCTCATTATTCATAGATTCTGTATTTGTAAAATTGCCTACTTGCTAAATTTATTTTTAGATCCAAAAGCAATACTTTTAACACTTTCATAGTCATTTGTGGACTTGTCCAGAGTGGTAAAAACCTTCCTTGTCTGATGTGTGCATTCCCACCCAGTGAGACAGTGCTCTGCCTTCTTGTTTTCCCTCTCAGCTTATAAGTAAGTGTCCTTTTCATGGTAAATGTGGTGTCCCTTTTTGTTTGCCTTTTTGTGCTTTTTGTTGGCAGTTTTGCTATTTAAAATGATCCCCAAACATAGTGCTGAAGTGCTAGCTAGTGTTCCTAAGCACAGGAAGGCTGTCATGTGCCTTATGGAGAAAATATGTATTAGTTAAGCTTGTTCAGGCATGAGTTACAGTGGTGTTGGCCATGAGTTCAATGTTGATGAATCAGTAATGTGTATTAAATAAGGTATCTTTAAATAGAAACACACATAAAACAAGGTTATGTATTGACTGGTTCACAAAAACATTGTGACCAGAGGCTTATAGGAACCTAACCCTGTATTTCTTTAGGAGCAATTGTTCTGTATTTGCTAATTCAGTGCTGGCAGCAACTTTATAGAACATACTACATTAAATAATGAAAATTGACCATACTTACATACAACATTGTTTAGAACTGCACAATCTGAAATACTAGAAAGTATCAATTTGCTCATGAATACTTTTCTAGTGAGTATAGATTGAGATTGTGCTAAAATATCATGTATTTCATAATCATCAAACACATTCTGCCTATTGAAAACATTTTGTTGGTTCCAGAATAATCAACTCTTATTCCATAAATAGATGATGAACTACAACATAGTTTGAGGTGGCTCATATAGGAAGACATTATGCCTAAGCTATTACAGCTCTCTTGGAAGCAAATAGAATTCTAAGAGCCTATTTTTGTCAGTTATTTCTTATGAAGAAAAAATGTGTTCAAAACCACACCATAAGTGTGACAGCAATGAATTCCCAAACATATTATTTGGCTATAGGAAGCATTCTTAGAACAAGGAAACATCTGAAAAAAATTAAGAGATATGGAATTAGAAACAAATTTCATGTTTTTGAGGAAGAAGATATCCACAATTGAGTTGCCTGATGATCTAAGTTTATTTTTGTAGAGTTATCAATCCAACCAAAGATCTCATTGAATTGTCTTAAAATAAATTTCTTTGCAATGTAGGGGCGCCTGGGTGGCGCAGTCGGTTAAGCGTCCGACTTCAGCCAGGTCACGATCTCGCGGTCCGTGGGTTCAAGCCTCGCGTCAGGCTCTGGGCTGATGGCTCGGAGCCTGGAGCCTGTTTCCGATTCTGTGTCTCCCTCTCTCTCTGCCCCTCCCCCGTTCATGCTCTGTCTCTCTCTGTCCCCAAAATAAATAAAAACGTGGAAAAAAAATATTAAAAAAAAAAAATTTCTTTGCAATGTAGAGGATGAAATCTCCTGAACAATAAACCAAGCTATATGTTTTCCCCTGGGGGCCAATAAAAAGAAAACTGGGCTGGAAGTCAAAAGCCCAGTATTGCATTCCCAACTATGACATTTAGAGTCGTTCTGAATGAGTCACGCATGTGCCTTCATGGCAGCCATTTCTTTATATTTCTTACTTAGGAAAAACAAAAAACAAAAAAACTGTAGTGGATGGTCAGCTGCTCACTTCACTCGGCACAAAAAAAGAATGACAAAACTCCTGAACCTGATTGCAAATTTGTTGGCAGTGCTAGGGCAGTAACAGTAAGGATTATGAATATTTATCCTCCACTTGGCCCTTGTGTATGCCAGGCACTGTGCTAAGCAGTTTACGTGTGGTAACCCAACTCATCCTCCCAGTGGCCACACAAGGGATTCCCCTTTTCAGAGCAGAAAATGGAGGATAGAGAGGTCTGCTGACTTGTTTGAGATCATTCAGCTAAGAGGTGAGGGTACCCAATTTTGAACAGTACGTTAACTCCATTGCATGAGCTGTTAATGACACCGTTTGTTTTCAAGTGTGATTTCAGGCATGATTTTAACTTTTCACAGTTTTGAAGTTCTCATGTGATAGTTTATAATGTATTAAGTCACACACCCCTGATCAATATAGGGGAATTTGCTCCTGTTATCTCTCAAGAAAGATGATTAAAATAATGGCCACAATCCTTAACAATGTCATTAAATCAATCAATCAATCGATAAATGAGATCAGTCTTGGTTTCAGAAGATTGGAGACTTTGAATCTTTAGGTATGTATAGTAAGTGGGATATTTGTAAGTGATTAAATTTAGAAAAAAAAATTGAAGAGATCAGTTCTTTATTCTGTTTTGGTCTATTTTAGCAAAGTCTTTGACAAGACAGGAAAGTACCTGTTTGTAAATTTTGAAGTCTAGGGTCTTCTCTCTGAATTCATTCTGAAGGTGTCTTATGCAATGCGATGCCTATATCAAATGTAACTAAATGAAATTGTATCAACCAAACTTCATCATCCCAAAACAGATCAAGCTAAATAGTGCAGTTAATTTTTCTCAGAGATATTTCTGTCTCTTTTTCCCTACCAAGCTGCATTTCTTTTTAATGTAGGGCATCTTATCACTAACTTATGAATGTGTAAGACATTTTCTTAGGGTGTATTATGTTAGGAATGCTTTGCAATCAAAATTTATTCAAGATATCCAGTCTTCAAGGACTTTCTTTTTCTATCATTAGATAAGCAGCACAAAGAAGTGGTAAAGACACGTAAAAGTACACCTCGAAGTTGTTGGAGCAGGGGGTGGGAGGGGAGGGCTTCTTTTTGGAGTTCTCAAGAGCAAAGACAAGAAGTGGGAAGGATGGGACACCCAGGCTGGTCTTATGACTCTTGACCACATACATCCTAGATACGAATCGGTTCATCTTGATCAAATGTCATGTGCTCGGATGACTGAATGCGAGGATGGGGGAAAGTATGCCCCTGCTGCCTCTGTAATCACTCACCCTCCTCCACCAGGTAACTAAAGGGGAATCTGGGGGTTCTGGGAGCCCAGCAGGCTCATTGCTTCATGAGACATGCCCCTAAGTACAGAGCCTGATGAGCATTTTTATCATGACCAATAGTGAGGGAATAGATTTTAGGAAGTAGGTCTAACTTTGCATTTTTGCTTTAGCTAAGTTGGTCACACAGTTAAGTGTGGAACTTACTATGGGGCACTTTGATTTTAAAAGCAGAAGAAACTCCTTCAAATTGTGATAGGAAACTGACAGTTTTCAAGTGCTTATTTAAAGTAGTTGGCGGCTTCTAAAGAATTCACACTTACAGCCTTCTCCCAATTATAACCCTATTATTCCTTATGGCTGGGGCCACATGGCCCACCCAATTAGTTTGTTTCCTCATGTGCTTAAGCTCTCTATCTTCAGGAATATTCCCACTGCTTTCTGGAAGAGCAATTTCTGGTTCCTGAGTTTGATGTGTCCCTTCCTGTAGCTAGAGAAGAGAAAGGGGAGAGGGTCCCTTGGGATCTTGGCCTCAAATCCTCCTGAGAGCCAAGTCTTCTTCCATCTTCCCAGAGCAGCCCCATGCCAGGTACACATGGGCATGTGTCTGGAGAAACACACGGTCTCACTTCATTGACTGTACATCAGAAATTTTATACCCTTCACTGTACAGGAATTCCTGGAAGTTCTGGAAACACAGAGCTCAGGTCAGTTTGGGCTCACTTGTGAACCCTCACTATCTTCATACAATGCCTAGCATGTAACAGATGCTCAGAATAAAATTTATCTACTGATAAGTGCCATTTATAACTGACTAAATACAGTATTATGGTCATCTCAGTGGAAAGATGGTCCTCAAACTCTTGGAGTAGACTGCAGCTTCTTAAGCCTCCTAGTATAACTTTAATGGAAAAAATAGATTTGACTTCATCAGTTCAACTTACTCTCACATTTGAGAATGACCTGTACTGAAGTTGTGGTTGTTAGCAGCTGGTTGTAGACACACATCATTTGTGTGTGTGTGTGTGTGTGTGTGTGTGTGTGTGTGTGTGTGTGACTCTCCTTCATTTCTGTGCTGTTTCTTCCCTTATGACACTCATCAGCAAAAATGGTGTTAGGATGGGGAGGAGGGGGAAGTCATAGAAAGATGCAGCCCAGGTTATGCAAGACCACTTTTTATCTCTTTCTGTGATTTTTCCCCTCAGGGTGATTCTTTTGAAGACTTGGATGACTTCAGTCCAATATTTGTCTGATCTTCCATTGAGAAAGTTCATGGAGACACTATGTCCTTACATGGTATAATTTTCTGCTTGGCTCTTGTGAAGTTTCTACTTAGGGAATTTTCTTTCTTCCATTTGCAAATCAAAAGGCCCAACAACATCATCAAAGCCTATTAGAAATAAAATGGACCTCGGGCTTCGTTGAGGGAGCATAGCAAATGTTCATTGTCCATATAACAATTCACAGCCAACAGCAACCTGTTTACTCACAGATACTGTAGTTAGTTTGTGCAGCCCGCAAATAACCTCAATCTAGTGTTTATTAGAGCAGGTTAACTCAAATACATCCCCAGAATACAAGCACTTTGGCAGGGATTTTATGTAACATTTTTCTGTGGAGTTGTTTGATCCCCAAAAGAAATGGGTAGACATTAGTGGAACTCAAGAATAGGCAGAAAATACGAAGGTAAGTGAAAAGATGAACGTCTAGCAGTGTTTGAACGGTTAGGAGCAAATGTGACCGTTGTGGAGTAAATGTCTTTAATGTTGACAGAAAAAGAAAGTTCAGAGTAGGACATCAGAAGCAGAGGCTGTGAGATTATCTTTCAAAAATCAGTGTAGCATTTATTAGAGTCTGATGCTGTTGTGAACTGGTGGGGCTGTCCCCTGCTGCCCTGCACGTTGACTTGGAAACTGAAATGGATGCACGAGGCAGAGTTGAGTAAAGAGAAGACCCGTGTTCATTTCCCTGTAAACTCTTGTAATTCCAAATGTGAGGGAATGGCCACGTCTTGCCAGAAGAGGAAACCCGAGTCGGGTTCTCCCAGGGACTGATAAAGATGTCCCTCACTCGCTCCGGGGAGCCGGCACCCGGGCACAACAGGCACGACGCGAGGACTGCCAGACTCGCCGACTGCGGCCACTTCCCCAGGGGCAGGGGCGCGCCTGCTGGAAGGTGGGAGGCGGAGTTGCTCCGCTTCTGGGAAGAGACCAAAGGAATGAGTAATTGGAAATTCTGTAACTTAGACCCTTCTCCTAAACTCTTCAGCCCTTTCACCCCAAACCCCCTGCCGAGAGGCAAGGGCACCAGAGACGGGGAGCCGTGGTGGAGGGAGAGTCACGTTTCGGAGAGGGAAGTGAAATAAAGAGGGCGGCACCCGGGGGGGACCTGTGCGTCATTGAGGGACCGAGGAGAAGCGCGGGCGCACGCGGTGGAAAAGGAGAAGTGGGAGCTAGAAGCCGGAGGGGGCGGCCGCGGAGCGGGGGCGCCGAGGAGCGCCCGAGCCTCCTGCCTTCTCTGGCCGCGCCCCGTCCGCCCGCAGCCTCGCGGCGCTAGCCTCGACCCGCAGCGCTCCGGATCCGGCAGGCGGGGCGCGCTCGCCGCGCGCAGAATGTGGCCGAGGACAAGGCTCTGGCCCCGCGCGCCCTGGCGCTGGGCGTTGGCGCTGCTGACCCTGGGCGGTGCGGGGCTGTGCCATGCCGGCCCGCAGCCCATGCACCCCGCGCGGCCGGGCGCCAGGAACAAGTAAGTGTGCGGTCCTTCTGGCTCCCAGCACTGCGATGCTCCTTCCAAGAGCCCTGGGCCCCCGCCCACCCCCACTCTCCACTAGCAGCCGGCCCGCAAGCTCCATGCCAAAGGCTATGAGCAGCAGCCGGGGGGTCCCCCTCGGGCTGCCCCGGCGGCGGCGCCTCCCCC